GCATTCATTTAGCTAGTCCCAGTCCCAGTCCTATATCACTTCGACATAAAGACGTAGGCCCGTCCCCCAGACATGTGGAACCCTTGGTGGACACTTGGCCTGCTAATCGTCGAGGACGCGATATTTATGAGCAGGCAATTCTTCCATTAGAGGAAGATGATACCATACGTAGAAGTTTTTTTCACGGAAATTATAGAGGTGGGTCATATTTTAAGACCTCCCTGGGCTCTGTAATTTTCCTGTTATAAATCTTCACGGGATCCTTCGGTGCCATTTGGTACCTCTTGGGTTGTAAACCACCCAATAAGCCTTTCAAGAAAAGGTAGAACATATACATCTCACTCCGTAGAGAACTGGAAACCGCACATCATTAGGGACCTTAAGCAACTAAGGCGACGAAGACAACAACAACGTCAAAAAAACAATTGGTTTTATTAGCAAAACAACAGACGCTTTTTAGTACATTTCTTCGACGTCCACTGCACGACTACGAAGTGAAACCTCCCAATGCGACGTCATATGGCGGACGTGGACATACGACGACAAATCTTCCTTTCCCTATTTCAAAATGGATAAAGCCCTTAAGAATTCAATTCTGGGAAAAGTCGCCTCCATTTGACGAATTGAGCGGTTCCAAATAAACGCGATAAAGTTTGACAGGACGCAAATTCATTTTTTTAGTGATGTTTTAACTGCCTGTTGTCGTCGTAGTTGCTTAAGGTCCTCTATTGTTATCAGTCGACGATAGTTCAAGTATAGTAGTAACTACACTCATTAGAACGATCAGTTACACCTTAACGTAAAAGTAATTGTCTGATGAGATGGTGTATTTATAAGTCGTATAAGTTTCACATATTTCAACCGCGGAATGAATTGAACAAATAAAGAAAGAAAGCATCCCCTCAGTTAAAGACGCAGCTTGTGCATTTGCCAAAAGAAAGCCTGAAAAAACTTGCAGGCTACAGTATGTCTGAAGAGGGTGGGGTGGGGGAAAGGGGGACGGGGAGGTTTGACGCCACCCTCGGAGACCAAGGGAACTGTCGAGTTTGCAGGTAAAGAAGATCAAGAATGCAGCACAAGATAGATGCTGGCCTCCGATTAACACAAAATCACTTTTTACTGCCCAATCAGAGACAAGCATTCGAATAAGTCGTGGAGCTGGTTTGTTTAGAGTAATATCCCTTTCGCCGCCGTTTATCCCGACCCGACTGACAGCCCCTGGGTCTCCGAGGATGGTTTGACGCCGAGAAACCACTGTTGGTTAATATGCTTCTTTATTCTCAACAAGCAAACATTTAAAGTCACCCGGCTTCTGATATAAGACTGATACTCAGGGGCACCCAACGGGAAATTTTGAGAAAAAGACCTAAAAACAACAACAAAGCGTGAACAAAGTTTTCTGAGACTATTTTAAGCATTTCGGGAGATTGCTGGAAAAAAATTATCTGTTCCTCACTCCCAGCAAGACTGATGGAAGAGTTCCCAGCCAGCAAGGTGCACCTACAACCTGCAACCTGACTTACTGGGAAGTTTCATCGGGCACAATTCAGATTTTGAGTGGTATAAGTAACCCATAGCAGCTATTCTAGACTTCAAATCCCCTCTGACACCCTGAATTATCTTTTTCCCAGCAACACTTTCCTTCCAAGGACTACCATTTTTTCCACATCTCCCAGCCAGCAAAAATGTGCCTGAAGAACAGATATTTTGATGAACAGATCCATTGGGTGCCCCTGTGGACAATGTGAAAGTTGTGAATTTCCATCACACCGCGAAAAGCTCGTGAGTATTCCGTACGTGTCTGTGCAATGTGGGTTTCTTATGAAAGGCCAAATAGGTGGTTTTCACGTTACGTCATCACCGCCATGCTGGTGGACGGTAAACAAAAGATCGCTTATTAGCTCGCTTTGTTTGTCCACCAGCATTTGTTCATTTCACCATTGTTATTTGTGTCTCCCGAGATTGCATGAAAACCACCTCAATCATTTCGGTGTTTCGTACACTTCTCTCCGCGCCTCTGGCTTTCACCTTCTTTGCTGCCCCCTTCTCCAATGGATTAAAGGCTTCAGTTTAATCCCTCGGATGCTCAACATTTACACGATGATTAATCTGCCCCCGTTAGTCTACGTTTTGCAAGTTGGCCGCGCTTAGCTTGTGTCGGTGCTCGTTGGGTTCTTGTTCTTGTAAGGTAAGAAATATTTTGACTCTTATAAGCTTGTTTTCGGTTTGTCGTTGGCTTATGGAGTTACAAGTGTCTAGCGTGTTGCCTCTCTCCTTTCAGCAGGTTGCATTTTACTTTTGTCTAGAGTTAACGGGTGTCATAATCGGAAGCATGTTTTGGCGAGCGAAGCGAGCCGCGAGAGAAGGCGCGAGCGAGCGGCGAAGCCGCGTGAGGGGCAGAGGTCCTTTCTTTCCGCGCCCAACGCACCCTCGTCTCCTTTCGCGAGCGGTTCTCGCGTGACTTCTCGCGACTCTCCCAAATGGAGAGCTTGCTCGCAGGCATTTCCCAAGCATGTATCTATTCGTCTAGCTCTAGTTTTAAGCAAAGAGTAGTTTATCTTTGTAGTATTTAAGCCAGTTTGTCTAGCGGAAGTACTTTGTAGTGATGACCTTCGAAAACGTCGAACGTCGTCGTATTTTTTAACGTTTTTAAAAATTTATTAAAATATGTTTTTAAGATATATTTAGAGCTAGTTTTTTTTTATAAAGTCGCTATTCAGTTTTGAACCAAACTGCT